TAACCTGTGTGGCCTGGAGCCATTGCGATTTGCATTGCAAAAAAATTATAGTATAATAGGAAAATTAAAAATTTTTTTTAACTAATTTTACCAACGTGTACGGCCTGGATCAATTTGATTTTAACTGATCTTTCACACAGATTATGTAATTTATTTAAGTTTTTTTTATAAAAAAATTAATTAACTTACTTAACCTGTGCAGTTTGCCTCTCAAAAAAATCTTAAAGAAATGAGAAAAATAAAAAACTTAAATAATTTACCTAACCTATGCTATTTAACTGATTGCTCTCACACAAGGTAGGTAAGTTAGGTACGTTAGTTAAGTTTTTTTTTTATTTTTTTACTTTTTGTATATTTGTTTTTGCGAAGCAACAAGCGATGATTCTAGGATGCACAGTTTAGGGTAATTAATTGAGTTCCTTCCCTTTTTTTAATTTTATGTATATTTGGTTCTTCGATCAAGTGCAAATTTATTTTTGATCATTTTTCTTTTCGGTCATTTTTCTTTTCAATCATTTGTTATTCGATAAAAAGTGTTATCGATCAAATGTATTCGATCAAATGATTTCGATCAATTTTGTGCCACCCGTTGTTTTGATATATAGAGATTGTCCGATGGGAATTTTGAAAAGTCAGATATTGAAAATTAAAATATGTTTGACAAATATTGCATTTGTTAAAAGAATTGTTGCATTGAAGATTCTTAAAGAGTTCAAATAAAGAAAAATAAGTAAAACCAAATGCAAAGAAATTTTATTCAGATTGGAAGGTGAAATTGATAAGCAGAAAAAAGTTAAAGTGATGTACAGGAGGGCAGTAAGACGAGACGGAAAGTAGAGTTGTTGCAGAGGAACCAGGAGAATATAAGCAGATCAAATAGAAGATAGCCAGGGCAGAAAACAAAATTCTTACTTTAAATTACTTTTCTAGATTTTGAGATTTTTTATTTTTTGTTGGAATTCCATATCAAATGGCGCCCAACGTGGGGCTGCATAAAATTGAAAGGCGTTAAAAGAGGACAGACAAAATTTTGAATTACAAAGACAAGAGAACGAAATTTGTACAAAATAGATTTTATTTATATTTAAATTATTAATTGATTTATTTGGGGTAGGAACAGTATATGTATTCCTGGTGTATGAGAGTGTATCTAGTTTATTGAAATTAAAATGTTATTTAAATAAAATCAACCATTTACGATAGAAAATTTGAAAATTAGGGTAAAACTAAAGTACATAAAATTTATATAGACAAGTTTGTTAGAATTATTATGTAACAGTGATAGTAAAATCTATGAAAGTGTAAATAGTAATTGTAAGGACTTGCGAGATTGAATCTTTAACTTAAAGCTGTTAAACTTCTTTTAACTAAATCTCAAGATGGGGGTGAATAATACAAAAAAACTTAATAAATAGAACTGTTGAGTATTAAATTGGTTAATGATTTTAATTGATCGTACTTATATTAGAGTAAAGTACAGGGTGTCCGATAATGGATTTAATATCTCGAATCGTTTTAACGTCGGCCCTGCCCTAAATAGGAGGATGGGGTATTGTAGACAGGTAGCGGAACCATGCGGATTTCAGTTACGATGGCACCCTGGCCTGCAGAACAACGAGCGTTCATAATTGAATCATTTTTTAAATCAAACGATTGGTACATTGTGTCGCATCGACGTTTTTATGCAAGTTTTGATATTCGACGTATAGTTGATGCACCGTCGGCAGCTTTAGTGCACAGTTGGGTTAGACCCTATTACAGTTCCCTGGCTATGATAACAACGGCACGCTCACCAGACCTAACTCTCCTGGATTTTTTTCCTATAGGCTACTTGAAAAGTGTCGTCTACACGGAACCAATGCCACAAACCATTTAGCAGCTGAGAAACCGCATCACCAATGCTATACGTGGCATACCCGTGGCGAAGTGTCAGAACGTTTTCCGCAGCTTACGCTCCAGATTAACAGCTTGCTACGGTCAGCATTAAAACGATATTCTGTTTAAACACTAAATCCGCATATTTACTCTGTCTAATAAAGCTAATAAACCTGATATATCATGTTCTGGGAGTAAATTAAATTGCGTTAAACCCTTAAATTCATTACCGGACACCCTGTATTATAATGTTCAGATATTTCATCTAGCACAATTATAGGCCTTAGGTACTTATTACTAAGACTGTATTCTAGACCTTCGACAGTTTCCCTACGTTAGTCTCGAGTCCCGTGGTTAAAGGTAATAGAACACTTCAAAAGTCAGTCTTAAATATGAAATAAGAAATAACCTATAAATTATAAATATTGATTCTGCACGATACACGATATAAAAAAAGGAAAAGATTATTACACTACACCCTGCAGTAACCTGCAGCCGTTATAGAAAACGTATAAGTACGAAACGAAGTACAATGTCACCCATCATACTATAGTGTGCTGAGGTCGTCATAAGTAAAAGTACAAGTAAAAGAAGATAAAATACTCCAGAAATGTCCGGAAATGACATTACTAGTCAAGAATATTCTAGACGACTGTTTGAGAAGGTTCGGGAAGGGTCAAGCTATATAAGGATGATCCTGACGTCAGTTTTCAGTTTTATGAGTAATTCTAGGTTTGAAACAAAGTATATGTGAAATCAACACTAAAGGGTAACCAATGGCAAATTAACGCTGTTCGTTACCTCGTTGGTCATCACCTTATACTCATCGAAATATTTACCTAAGAGGGTACAACCTGTGTATATCTAGAATAGAATCAAGCTAAATAAAAACGTAAACATCAGCACAGTATTTAACTAACTGGCCAGTTGATGCTGTTTGTTATTTCTATTGGTCATCAAGCTAAATAAAAATATCAACATTAACACAGCAATTAACTCAATGGAGAATTGGCGCTGTTCTTTAACTCCGTTGGTCATCAACATAATACAAGTGTAAACATCAACATAGTATTTAACCAACTAGCGCATTGACGCTGTTCGTTAACTCTGTTGGTCATCAAGCTAAATAAAATATATCTTGATAGCAAATGAACGTGGCCGCATTTGAAAGAGACTCAAGTGACACCTCAGTAAATAGTACCAATTGTAATATTCTTTGCTAATTATTGCATCACATTTAAAGTATAAAAAATAAAAGAGTTTAAATATGAATTTGTATGTTTTATTTATCAATTTGCACCAAACTTTGCATCGAATCCTTTTATCTTAATTAACATTATCACAATAGTAGGAGAGGCCACTGCAAATTTCGACCGTCACCTGATAACGAAATGAAATATGCTTAAAAGCCATGTAAAAATATTGTACTTTACCAAACGGCACCTGTGCCTAGCACTATCCTGAGCAAAATGGTTGAAACAATGGCACTTCCGGTGTCATAATTAGCGAGAAATGTCGTCATTTGATAACGAGATAAGACTTATGCCATCGGATAGCTATTGATTTATAGAACTTAAAAATGTACCCTCTTTTCCTGAGCCAAATGCTTGGCACGGCCTATTTATTCAGCTAAAAATCTCGACAAACTTCCGTCATGTGATAACGAGTTAAAACAATATGCAATCGAAGGGGCATAATGTCCCATTCAGGAATATCCGCATGTGCCACGTTTTAACCTGAGCTAAGTTGCCGGCACAGCGTAATTTCTGAGACGCGCCTTCCCCAACTAATTAATTTCATATATACCAAAAATCACATAAGCCATGACAACGAACATTAGGTATTTGTATTGAAAATTACAATCCTAATAATTAATTTTAAACCTATTAGTGAATACTTGATTTGTATTCCAATTTTATATACTTTTTTACAGACTTAAAATTAAGAAGAAGGTTCTCAAATCGTCGGAATGTAATTTTTTTATGTATGTTCAGCGATAATTCTATACCACGTTGTTTGATTTGTATGATTTTTTTTTTGTTAGAAAGAGGATACCTCAGTGGTGGTCACATATAAAGGTCAAGATCTGATGATAGGATACACGAGAAAATTATCAAACTCTTCAATTTGCAAAGGCAACTGTACGATTTCGGAGTTTGTTTTTTAAAACTACTTTTATAACTTGTAAATAATTATCAATATACAGGTATATTATTTACCAAAATAACTTAATAGGTATTTATTTAGATAAATTTGATTACTATTTTTATCCGTCTAAACAAGTAAATTTTTATACCTGACATATTAAATTTGATCTTTTAAACTATAATCATAATAGGCAGTTTTTTTGACGTTTTTATGACAACCTGTAATAATGAATCACAACATTTAGTAAACAAATAAATATTGAAATTATCAAAAATTAATTGACTCATTTTGTTAATAGTTCTTATTATTTATGGATATATGTTTTTTATGATCTGTAAAAGCAATAAACAAAAGAAAACTTCCTGCAAAGTTTCACTTTTCTAATATCACTGATGAGGAGTGCGATATTCCTGTTGATTTTTTTAATCTCATTTACAATTTGATTTCCGGCCCTGACTTGCCTAGGCTACAATCTGATGACGATCTCTTTCGAATAAATTCAATTTGCAGCGACATCATTTATGCTACAACAAAGAGAAGAATAAAACCTTCGAAACACCTAAGTCTTGGATTAGCGATACAATCTTTGACTAGTAGCAGAAAACTATTGACCTTTCTAAATAAGTACGGGTATACCGAGGGTTATTCTATAGCTGAAGAGCTTGAGACAGCTCGCTTTTACGGCCCTAGAAGAAAAATCAATTAATACCCCCTGGTATTCAAGTCACTGATGGACTCTCAATACATTTGGCATTTGATAACTTTGACAGATTTGTTGGTACTGCTACGGGTAAAGATACTCTCCATGATACGGTGGGCATATCAATTCTCTTCGAAAACTGATGATACCATGTAACTTGCTGCAACATCTCATAGTACAGAGCAAACCTCTTTGAACGATAGCAATATTTCTGCAGAGAGTGTCTCGTAAAAGACGCAAATTTAAAGAAACTCTGCGTGTTATGAAACCTTATTAGAAGCGTAAGGCGACGTTGTCATTGTTATCGTCTGACGTTGTACTGGAGACTGTAGGCAACTGCAACATCTCAAGAGAGCGTGCCATTATAAGAGATATGTTACGGGCTTTTTCTCTTTTAAATCTCGACAAGGTACCAATGTGGGTAGGGTACAATTCGTCAGTAATTGGTGATTGTAGTGAAGAGAAGAACATTGATTACATGCCTCCAATAAATTCGTCTCCTACGTTCTATAATATCGTTTATGAAACGTTGGCCATGTCCAAAGAAGTAGCCGATCAATGCCATCAAGACCAGATCCTCGTAACTTATGATCTGGCCATCGCGAAAATGGCGATGCAAATTCAAAGTGTGGAAAATCGAAAATTTGATGGTTTATTTATCAAATTAGGAGACTTTCATATGCAATTAGCGTTTTTCAAAGCTGTTGGTAAATTTATTGATGGTTGCGGAATCGTAGATATTTTAACAGAATCCCGAGGTTTTAGCAGCAGGTTCTGTAAACGGATTTATCGAGTCTAAACACTTTAATAGGTATAAAAGAATTCACCATATTCTTGCAGGTGCTCTTCAGATGTCGCATTTTGATTTATTTATGTCAGGAAGAGCTTTTTCTGAGGATAGTTTCATTTCTGATCTAAAAGTTGTTTTTGAACTTCCTGTTCCATCTCATAAACCGTTGATATTGTATCCTCTTTTAGAAGAAATTATTAGGAAATACAAAGATTTCTGTTCACTAATTCTAACAGGATATCACGGAAAAACTGGGCAATTCTATTTACAGTACGTCAAACTGTGCATTGATCTCTAAAGTACTTGAGTAATCTGGTTTCTTTAAAAGTGGACAATTTGTCTCTCTTATATGAATTTAAACGTGGTGCTTTCGGGGTTAAACGAACGGGAAAATCGTAAGCTAGATCTCTGGTAGATCTTACTTTAGAACAAACAGTGAATGCTGAAGCATCCAATTCATTGACTGGAATAACTTATTTCACAACTCACAACAAAGGTAATTTCTCATCTGCTTGAGAAGATGGGAATGTCTCAGAAAGATGACGTTTCCCACCATTTGGAAAAAAACCTGATTTAAAAAGATACGAAAGCGCTGAACGCAATTCGAATAATGTTAGAACAAAATATGAATCCATTTGATCAAAGCGTTAACAAAGATTGTTTGTTTCATATTGTAACAGGAAAAGCAGTTTCTCCCAAAGTTTGCGATTTTTTGACCAATGCAAGCACGATGGGTCACCAACAGAAGTTGCAATTTCTGGAAGAATGTGCAAGTTCGCCTGATCGCTTTGAAAAACCAATTAAAAGAAACACAATTTTGAATTCGGCTTCAGACTGCATTAAAAAAGTTCGGATGGTAAGCAAGTCTTAATTCAAATGGAAAGAAACGTCTTTGGCCGTCTGCACTGGATAAAAAAATTGATATGGAAATATGTTTTTCATATCCATTAGCCCCTGCGCCTCCAGCACTTGTTCAATGCAATGGAAATATGCACAAAACTCCGAAAGCAGTACTGGGGAAATATCTTACAGCCAACGCAAATCTTTCCATACCCCCTAAAAATCATATTGAAATCATGGCTTTTATTTCCTAAACGTTTTGGAAAAACTTTTGGAAAAATAGCTGAACATGTATTGCGAAAGATTTGTGGTAAAGATGCATCGGAAATACATTTAGTTTTTGACAGATATTTGTCAGATATTTGACAGATATCATCGTCGTATTGAATTCTATTTTTTAACCGACTTCAAAAAAGGAGGAGGTTATCAATTCGTCGCGATATTTTTTTTTTTATGTATGTTCAGCGATAATTCTTTAACACGGTTTCCGATTTTAATTATTCTTTTTTTGTTAGTAAGGGGCTACTTCAGGGGTAGTCCCATATAAATTTGGTCAAAATTAAATAATTGGGTCCATGAGAAAATCTTCAAACTCTTCATTTTTTATGTATGTTTAGCGATAATGCTTTACCACCTTGGCCGATTTATATGATTCTTTTTTTGTTAGTAAGGGGGTACCTCAGGGGTGGTCCCATATAAATTTGGTTAATATGTGGTGATGGCATCTGCACGTTTTTGAAGTTGGTTTTTTTAAATTTTTAATTTCTAATACTTGTAACCGACTTCAAAAAAGGAGGAGGTCTCAATTCGTCGCGATATTTTTTTTTATGTATGTTCAGCGATAATTCTTCAACGCGGTGTCCGATTTCAATAATTCTTTTTTTGTTAGAAACGGGGTACTTCAGGAGTGGTCTCATATAAATTTGGTCAAAATATAATAATTGGGTCCGTGAAAAAAATCCTCAAATTCTTCATTTTTATGTATTTAAGATGTGGTGACGGCATCTGCACGTTTTTGAAGTCGGTTTTTTTTAAATTTTTAATTTATAATACTTTTCAATTTGTAGTTACACTTTTTTAGAAATATAAAAAGTACCTAATAAAATATATCTAAATAAATACCTATTAAGATATTCTGTTAAATAATGAAGCTGTGTATTAACAGAAGTAATTTTAAAAAACTTTCTTTATTATTCGAAGAACTTAATTATTTTTTCGTGTATCCTATCATCAGATGTTGACCAAATTTATATATTATGACTAGCATGGTGTTTACTTTTCTAACAAAAAAAGAATGATAGAAATCGGACAACGTGGTATAGATTTATCAGTGAACATACAAAAACATAAAATGTTCTAACGATATGAGTATCTCCTCCTATTAAGTCTGTTAAAAAGCCTATAAAATTATGATACAAACCAAGGCTTCAGTAATAAGTTTACAATTAATTATTTGGATTGTAATTTTCAATACATATAATTTATGTGATTTTTTTATATATGAAATAAATTAGTTGGGAGAGGTGCGTCTCAGAAATTACGCTGTGCCAGCAACTTAGCTCAGGTTAAAACGTGGCACATGTGGATATTCCTGAATGGGACATTATGCCCATTCGATTTCATATTGTTTTGACTCGTTATCACATGACGGCAGTTTGTCGAGAATTTTGGCTGAATAAATAGGCCGTGCCAAGCATTTGGCTCAGGAAAAGAGGTGGCACAGGTACATTTTTAAGTTCTATTAATCAATAGCTATCCGATGGCATAAGTCTTATCTCATTATCAAATGACGACATTTCTCGCTAATTAAGTGCCATTGTTTTAACTATTTTGCTCAGGATAGTGATAGGCACAGGTGTCGTTTGGTAAAGTACAATATTTTTACATGCCTCTGAAGCATATTTCATTTCGTTATCAGATGACGGTCGAAATTTGCAGTGGGCTCTTGGACTACAACTTGGGTACATACATTATCAATTATTTACCTAGACGATCACTTTTACTACTAGAGGAAAAAGGCCAAATACAGTAAGTACAAACTAAAATAAAATAAACTTGTTAGGTAAATAATAACATTTCAGAGAAAAACACAAATAACAAAATGGGGTACAGGGAGTGAGCATTTACAATACCTTCTTACTTACTTAATTTAGGATGATTCAAACCGATAACCAAAATTCGCTAGCATTAACACGAGTTCAAACCGCATTTTGAATCAATTTTATTACTCCAAGTGAAAAAAAAATAGCATTTTTCACGATTACTTTTAAAACGAATGTTCTAGAACAAAGAGTGGGGTGTAAAATCGACCTCTTTATCTCGTAAATTCAGAGCACGAACATCATATAATTCTTTCGAAAAACAAAATTAATTTAAACTTTAAACGTACATGTACGACGCACGACATCAGCCAAAATTATACCCCGCCTTATCTCAAAATGTTTAAAATTACCTACAATGCTTGCATACAACAATCGTCATTGCAAACTTCGGAGCGCTTAGTGCTTTCGGTAACTTTCTGTATTGTATCATATCTCCCATAATATTTGGACTCATTAAATACATAACACAGCACCTGTGATCTAATAACTAATCTAACTCATCATAAATTCGTAGCACGAACACTAATTTGCCACACAAATCCGTTCGTTCATCCACGAATGTTGCAAGAGGCAGAGAGCAATGCTGTCTGTCAGTCGCGTAATCCCGCTCTATCTTGGTCTTTTTTTGAAGAGGAGCTTCTGTTTTAAATAAAATAGAAACATATAATAACATTGGAAAATATTTTTATAATTATCCTAATTTTTAAACTGATATCAATCTTTCCATTAAAAACGAACTAGCAAAATTTTTTTATACATATACGAGAAAATATACTGAAAATCACACAATAAAAACTTGGAATGTATTCGAGCAAAATTAGGGAGGAAATAAATATTAAAAACCCATTAAATAATTGCATTGTGAGAAAACAATGATAACATATAGTGATAATAGGTGAATAAAATAAATAGCTGTTTAAATCTCACAATATGTATTTTAACAAGTTTAACCGATTTAAAAGACAAAATAATTTCATCTTCTGGTACACCAGTCATTACAATTTTGTAGTCCTCTATTGCTTGGCCAATATAATAGAGTAATTGTGATTTTGATATTGCAATTTACAACACTAGGTATTGTGTCGATATTGATAGTCTCATTGGGACTGTGCAATGTCCAATCGTCCAACATTATTATCTTTTTTTGTTCATTTTGAAAGTATATTTTTTTATTTGTAGATTTTTTTTCAGGCATTAAAATTAATGATTTATTATGTTTTTGTTTGTTATTAAAAAAGATATTATAATCCTTCAATTCTTTTTTTCTTTGTTTTCGTCAAGCTGATTACAAATATTTTTGTGTAATCTGCATTTTAAACTCGTCATTCCCTTGGGTAATTTTTTTCATTTCTGGTAAACTTTCTATTTTCACTTCATCTATTTTTTCTTTCCAAATTTCCCCTAATAAGAGTAATATTTTCATTCATAAAAATCAACGGCTGCATAATCTTAAACATTTCTACCTGTGGTCTCACCTGCAGCCCCTGACTACTAATACCTTCTTCTTTTCTCTTACCCTGTCCTTTACTTTCCAATTCTTTCCCAATACTCCTTAATGTAGAATCCAGCTCTTCTCTCAATTCTTCCAAACTTTCATCCCTATCGACATCCTGTTTCTGGTTTGGTCTCCCCTGTTCCATATACTGAATTGCACATACCCTGATACAAATCTATCATAATCGACTTGTTATATCAGATTGTTTCCACCTAACGTCTTTTCATCACTACCTACTTCAACAATCTCCTTGCATCCCTTAAAGTCATTCTCCTTGCCATGTTTTCCTACTAATAACACACCCTGTATTATAATATTTATTATTGAAATAGTTTTATATTGCAGATGTTATTATATTCAATTAATCTTAAATAATACTCAAAATATTCCTTTTTATTCAATTCGTATACTTTTATTTATAAAATGAATTTGAAAATTTCTATAAATAACTGATTGTTCTGCTACTCCTATATTTGAAAATACATTCTGATAATACCCTATTTTTGGGATTTCTGGATAATGCGTCTGCTACAACGTTATCTTTTCCTTTAATATAATTAATTTCATAATCATATTCAGATAGAAGTAACTTCCATCGAACTAATTTAGAATTAGGTTCTTTTAAACTCTCTAACCAATTCAAAGGTTTTTGATCATTTTGAACCTTAAAATGTTTTCCAAAAAAATAGGGACGAAAGTACCTTATTCCCCATACGATAGATAATAGTTCTTTTTCAATTACTAAATAATTTACTTTATTAGGGTTTAATGTACGACTTGCGTAAGAAATAGGTTTTCCACATTGACTTAATACTGCTCTAATGGCATATTGACTAGCGTCAGTTGTTAGTGTAAAAATCT